ATGATGAAACAAAGATAATTGATCAATTAAGCTGTTGGTGTTTTCATGACACCCACGAGAAGGGACTTGGTATCTCTGTGGTTCAGTCTGTCAAAGTTCATTTGTTGCTGTTTCATTCATGCCCCATGCTGCCATCGGACTCCCCACCCACCCCCCAGCTCACACACTCACCTTCTTAATCCCCGAGGAACCCGATTCAAAAGGGACGTGTAGGCCAGGTGCCCCCATGACCATGGTCTCAGAGCGAAACGTCCGTTCTGTAAGAGCCGTGTCCACTCGTGTCCCCCAGCGTTCCCTGGAGCCCACGACCAGGAGAGCAAAGAGTCAGGTCATGCCAGCACAAGCAAATTCTTAACAACAAAGAGGAAAGAGTTCAGGAGAACAGGAACATTTGACTCCCAAGGCCTGCTTTGGGGGACCAAGGCTTAGGACAAATTGAAACCCATCCAGGCACTGTCGGCCACTCGCTGGGACTGTCAGAAAGCCCCCTCAGCACCCCTAGAATAGCCAGGTAGGCCATCAGAGGGGGCATCACAGGGAGTTAGGGGGTCCAAGGGACATTGGATTCATCTGTTCGGCAAAGAGCTTGTCCTTCTCAGAAAGGACAGTTAGCAGGCTAATAACTGCACATCCTGATTCCCTTAGGTAATTTGCCCATCCGCTAAGGACGAAACTTCCAACCTCTTGATGTAATTTCCAACGTTCCTGAGTTGGAAAGATCTAATGGGCTTCATATTAGAACAGCCAAATCATACATTTGGGGCTCTTCTAAACAAGTAACAAAAAGGCGTATGTACATTTCAAATTCTTTTCAAATGGCTTGCAAGAAGTAATTCACCAAAGGGAACAGGAGTTAGGATACACAAAAGTAACAGTATTTGTGATGCCAGACAATCCCATTTGATAGAAAAAGGGAGAGAGTCTAATGCAAGGCCTCCATCCCTTACTGTTTGTACTCAGATGCCCAAAACTCTGTGCAGACCCCTGTGGGCGGAGACAGCAAAGTGGATGAGGAAGGAGTGTGGGTCAGGCCTACCTCAGCTCTTGAGTCAGAAGATAGAATAATCTTGGTTATTGGGCATTTTTGAGTGAGAAGTAGAATATTGTTTTCCTTCTAAAATTCACAAATGCCGTCCAAACGCCCTGGGTTTGCTATAATTTTCATTGTGGAATTCAGATATCCTGCAGTAAGCTTTCTGACCCCAGGGCTTTTGCTGACGAAGGAAAGGACATGAAGCTGACTCCAATTTTAGGGCACAAGAGCGCGAAAATTACAAAGAACCTACAATCCACAAGGCCAGAAATATACATTTCAATTACGATTTCTAAGGGGAATTTATAGGACCTGTCTGTAACATTTCTGACTGTTTGCGGTCTCTGTGGTACCTTCTTACTTTCTTGCACACATGATTTACATTCTTCTAGCAAATACCAGAGCTGCCTAATATTTTATATTTGTTATCGGCAAGGTTTATTTTTAAGGTGATGTTGGGTTTTTTTAGTCTTTACATAAAATATCCGGGGGGGGGGGGGGGTGGAGTTTGACTCATGGCTGAAGCTAAATTCAGAAGGTGTAATTAACCCCAGGGGTTTTCTTGGAACAACCTGCCGATTGCTGCTGAATTGCAAACCAACATTTACAAATAATTACAATATTGGTTTTACTGAAATTACCCATAATGATTTCAATCAGAGCAGCCATTTCAGAACAGAGTGCACATTGGGACCCTCTAAATAATTTCCTCTCCTAATGTGTTCAGTAAAGCAGTGAGCCTCCTGAATGCCAAGGCCCCATTTCTCCAGCATCAGCCCCTCCCTGGTCAGGCGTGGCTGGAGCCGCCTGCTTGCCGAGAGCTCAAGAAGCAGTTTCTTTAGCCTATCTGTAATCTTTAGAAAAACTGACAAATGGTGAACATTTGAAGATGGCTAAGACAATTCATTAAACAAATATTGCTCTTTCTACACCTTTATGTGACTACAGCAAGTTCCATCCTTACAAAGTGGATCAGAATCCCTCTGATGCTGGGTGATGATAATCTTCCTGAAGAAACACTGTCATAGGAAGGGTTACGTTTCTGTACGAGGGCCCCACCATTTTTTTAAACGAATTGATCATAACTAGGCTTTCTTTTTTTCATTTGGCAAACAAAACCTTGTCTTGTTTACCTTTGAGACGCCAATGCCTAAGTGACTACCTGGTATCTAGAAGGTAGATCCTCGGTAAACGTTTGTTGAGTAAATTATAGTTAAAGCACTTGAAGTGATACACCTAAATATTACATGATGTGCTCTAAATTCTACGAGAAAGTAGAATTCTGACATACATGTCAGAATAATGTGGTCATCACTCTGATAAAATGTTAGCAACGGATAGCGTTCCAAGTTTGGTCAGTGTTAGAACTGTGTTCTAACCGTGATACGGTTGTTAGTGATTTCTCTATGATTCCGATTCTATTCCGATTCTCTTCCATTCTGTCTAAATGGACAACCCTGTGCCCTGGAGATGTGGAATTACTGATCTTGGGGTACATCGCCCTGAAATTGGCAGGACACCCTTATTTTGCGTCTGTCTTTCACAGCGTTGTGAAAATAGCCAAGGTGTTCTTGGATAGTTCATCCTAATGCAGTGACGGTCATTGGGTCACAGCGCTGGCAGAACGACAGGGGGCCCTGGAGAACACTTAGCCCAGGGCCCCTATTCTGCCTCTGTGGATAGTGAGGCAGAGGCCCGTCTAAGCATTCGGTTTTACAGGGACCCCCACAAACATGAAAGGGAGCACCTCTTCTAAGTAGATATTCCCCCCAAAGCAAAAGCCTTGGGGGAAGGACTGGGGCATTGCCTGGTGAGTGTGCTGGAAGGGCCACCGATGCCACCTCCTTTCCTCCTTCTTAAGGCAGATAGACTGTCAAAGGGTCACTGTCGCAATTCTGAACACGGAAGTCATCCCTGGTGCCCATCCCCATTCAGTCTCGGGCCACCAGCCATCCCAGTATGCCTGGGACTAAGGGTTTTCTGGAGTGCAGGACTTGCAGTGCTAACCCCTGGAAAGGCCCAGGCCAGCCAGGATGAGGTGGTCACCCTGCTTCAGAGATGAGGATTGGAAAGTTCTGCTGTGCCTTGTGATGCCATTTGTTCAGCACTGGTGACTCTGCAGTTTCTGCAGAACCTGCCTGGTTCTGACGTAGCCTCCACTTGGTTTGAGTTTCTTCGTAGCCCAGGATGTTTACAACGATATAAGATATTACTAAACTTCTGTCTAAGACTGAGAACAGTCCAAAAGAATTTAAAAAGTGTGTCCGCCTTGACATCATCTAAACCGAATTCCTCAATGTTCTCCACTGAAGAGCTGAGGCCAGTGGCTAGAGAGCAGCACGGAAACAGGACAAGTCTTTGCCTAAAACCTGTTCTTGTCTATTTTAATTCTTGTTTTTCTTTTTCCTTAATCACTGATTGGGGAAAACAAACCACAAGCACAACTTTTCCTAAATACTTTCTCTCTCAGACATTAAGATGATGCATCCTCCCTGTCGCAGCTTCCATGCGTCCCCTTCACCATGGCTTCTCAACCTTAAATGTGCACACGGATCACCTTGGGATCTTGTTAAAACAGAATCTGCGTTTCTAACAAGCTCCAGGTGGTGTGTGTGCTGCAGGCCCAGACTGAGTAGCAAGGGCTGTCCATTAGCTCTCCCTCTCTGGTTCCCTCTTGTCTCAAAGAGAGAGCAGGACCAGCAGCCTTTGTGAGGTGCCCAAAGGAGCTGAATGAGGAGGGTGGGCTGGATTGCTTTGCCAGCAGCCTTGTCACACATGGCCAACGGTACACTTCGGGATGATGAGTTCCGAAACCTAGTGACAAAACTTTCTGGGTTTTCGGTCACATGTCTGTGATTCTGTCCTCCAGCTAACAAGCCAGGAGAACCCACCCAGGGGGTAACTGTTGTATAGGCTTCCCCCACGTTTCTGTCCGAGGCCATGAACTAGACATACAGATATGTCCTTGGAGGAAGTGCAGGATCCCTAAGTGCATTAAATCTTCATTTCAGCTTCTCTCAAACATTCTCTCACCTCATTGCTTCCAGTATCCACTAATGACATAGTTTCTCCTGAAGTAACTCAGCGTCTTCCTCACGGAAGAACCATCCCAGCCCTGGTAGTTTGTCCCGTATAAGACTGTCTTCCTTCTCTCCCTTGGAATCACAAGCCAAGCATATACTGCAAATAGAGACATCGACTTTTCTCTGTTGAGAAACCCTAAAGACGTTTTTTTTCTCTCTCTTCTCGCAAACAAAAAGACTTTAATGATTGTCACTTTAAACAACATACGGAGGATTATCACTCAGGTAGTTGAGCCATAAATGCAGGATGCTTACAGGAGACTTACCCCTGGCATCTTGTGCTTTATTTAAGCACAACTGGAAAGTTGTCACGTTTTTAAATGAAGCTGAATAACAGAATTTAATTCATGGAAAGCGGATCACAAGAATGCAGTGTCATTCCACCCCTACTAGGCATGTGGGTCCCCCATGCCCCCAGGATGAATCATATATCCAGGGAAGAAACTGGCTGTTTTGAAGAATTATTTTACGGGTGTAAGTTTTCTCCTTAAACACTTACACACATTTTCCCGTATTTCAGGCTGTTCCTCAAAATGTATGAGGCTCATCAAAGTTTAATCTGCAGTTGTAAGAGCAGGCAAAAAGGAAATGCAAGCACTAGTGAGAGACATTTAAAAAAAATAAAATTCTGTTTCTAAAATGGTAAAAGTACTGTGCTATTAGGGAGGGTTTCCCAGAACATTCCCAAAAAGCACTTAGTTTGGGGCTAAGTCTGACGCATATAACTGGAACCCAAAGTTTTATATTTATTGTTTTTTAACCATTTGAATTTCTGAGAAAGCAAGAAAAAAGCCCAGCCCCACCCCATCACTACATCCCATGCTGATGGATTAGATTTTCCTTTTGTGGGCAAAGATGTAACATGAATTAACTGGCTGTTTCAGGGGAGCCCAGCGCACCTAAGCTCGAAGGACAGATGGGAGAGGACGGAAACTCTATTAAGGTGAACCTGATCAAGCAGGATGACGGCGGCTCCCCCATCAGGCACTACCTGGTCAAGTACCGAGCGGTGAGTGGCTCCGGGGCTTCCGCCCCATCCTCACCCCCACTTCTGCCACCCTGACACCCACCTTGTTGGGGCAACAATGTGCAAAGCCCAGGCAGGGCAGAATCGTTCTGTGTCTTGCAGATGGCTCGGGGGCCCCGGTCAGAGTTTTCAACCCCAAGCTTGACCTACAGCCATCAGGCCGTGTCCACACCGGGACCATTTTGAAACCTCTAAAATGATTGTGGTGGCAGCAAATTCCTATCATGATCGATCACTCTACTGGTTGAATGTTTCTACAAAGTGGTTTTGCCATTACCCGGTACTTTTTGCAAATAATATATTGATATCTCATAATCAGTATGCTTGATCAAGTGTGTATTATGGGCCAGGCACTGCGATCATGTACTTTGTTTCCCCATGAGAATCCTGTGAAGTTGGCCTTAGGATTATCTGCCCTTCACAGAGGAAGTAACGTATTCAGTCAATAGTGCGTGATCCCTCACAGCTGGGTGGGCAGAGTTTGAACCCAGGTCTGTCTGAAGACACTGGGCTCTTCGCCCCTGCTTTAGGCTGCCTTACCATCCCAAACCATGGTCGTTCCCACCTGCCCCTCAGACCCTCCCTGAGCTGGTCTAATGCTGCTCACAGTGAGCTTGGCCCTGAACCCTTTCTTCCCGGTTTGCTCACCACCTAAGATTTCTGTCATCTGCTTTTCATCCCCAGGCCCCAAAATGAGAATCACTCTCACTTTCTTTGGTTTTAGAATGATACTTGGCCACTGCCAACCACAATCAATTGCTAAGAGATCTAGAGGCAGTGTCTGAGCACTGGGAATAGCCTCTTGCTCAGATTTCTTACCATAGGAAATAATGAGCCAGAGAGCAGTTGTCTTTCCTCAAGTAGGAAGGATTTTTCAAGGAAGTTGACTTACTCCTTCTCTTTTGATCAGGCCCCACTGAAGTGGTGTGTGAAGCCTTGCCTGGTTAGGCTTAATGGAGAGTCACTACAGCACAGAGCCCTCCCAGACACACTCCCCAGTGGGTGGGCAGACCTGTCATTCCACTCAGCCCTTCCCCAGTTCATTGCGAAGCCAGGCATGAGGCTGACATCAGAGGAGGTGCCTCTGTGGACTTCCCTAAGTCCCAACCTGTAGATGCTACTCTAGGAGAGGTCTCTGTGGCTTCCTCACTGTGGAACAGGGTACCAGGATTGAGTGATGGCCCAGCACAGCCCCCGGGAAGTGGACAGTGTGGTCGGGTGGGCCGTCTCTGGCCCTTGTTAGGCTGATGTGGCCCAGACAGATGTGGGATCCAGGTTCGGCTCTACCACTTAACCAGTGTGTGAAATGAATAGGTCACCCAGTCTTCCAAAAACCTCCATTTCTCCATCAGTAAAGTGGGAATAAAATAGCTTCTTGAGTTATTGTGAAGATCATTTATAATATAAGCAAAGAACCTGAAAAGTGCCCCTCACATGGAGCCCCCCCTCCCCTGCCCCATAACTACCATAATCACTGCTAAGAGCATGGAGGACATTAGGAGAAGGAAGGGAAAAATGAAGGGGGGACATCGGAGGGAGAGACGAACCATGGGAGATGACGGACTCTGAGAAACAAACTGAGGGTTCTGGGGGGGGAGGGGGGATGGGTGAGCCCAGTGATGGGTACTAAGGAGGGCACATACTGCGTGGAGCGCTGGGTGTCATACGCAAACAATGGATCGTGGATCACTACATCAAAAACTAATGATGTAATGTATGGTGACTAACACGACACATAATAAAATAAAATAAAAAAAGATGCCGGCTGGGGCTGGAGACACCTCCCAGATGAGGCCGCCTGAGATACCAGTTTTCCAGAAGAGCCACTGTGGCTGCGCCAGGCGGGTCTGCCTTAAAAAGACAATGGGACAGAACAGTGGGCTACGTTAGGTTTCAGCAGACTTACCTGTCTCCTCTTCTACTTCAAACACCGAGTGTTTGCTAAATACTATTACTATATGTTATTAGTATTTTTGTGCAACATAGTATTTGCTCTATATTCTGCTTGCCTCTTTTATAGAGTTTGCCAAGGAAAGGAGCCTTTCAGAGAAAGAGAAGACATAGACAGCTGAATTTCTTTGTTTTGAGTTGTTTTAGATTAAAACCGGGCCACCGGTGACATAGGGCCGGCCAAGCGAACTTGCAGCCTGACAAAACCCTTCACGGGCCGTTTGTAGGGAGGCACTGAGAAAATTGTGGAAAGCCTCTAGTATGGGGCTGGGCGCATGGTAGGTGTTCAACAAATGGTAGTTTTTATTGTTAACAAAACGAATCTATGCAGTGTTCCCGTGTCAAGGCGGTGAGTCCCACAGCTAAGTGTGAGCAATATCCTGAAATAGGGCAAGAAGGGAATTCGTTGTATGGCTCTTCTGGGGCATCCATGTGCCCAAGCATTCCAGAATGTGCTTGGGTCCCTGGGTGCCCTGACGGCGATGGGACAGGACATTGGAGGGTCGGCCCTATGCTACCTGCCACCGTGCTTGCAAAATGCGAGGTTGACCTCCTGACCTGCATCATCCTTAGGGGTTTTCAGGCTGGTAAAGAATGAACACCCTGTCCTATCATCAGTTCTTATTTGTATTATTTTGCACCAATAGTAGTAACTTCCTGAAGCTCTTCCCGTTAGCCGATCTCACCAGCATTTTCATCTAAACTATCCTGGTGTCTTGTGTCCTTCCTGCCGATTTCTCCCAGAAGCTCTCCTCTGAGTGGAAACCAGAGATCCGGCTCCCGTCTGGCAGTGACCATGTCATGCTCAAGTCCCTGGAATGGAATGCTGAGTATGAGGTCTACGTGGTGGCTGAGAACCAGCAGGGCAAGTCCAAGGCGGCTCATTTTGTGTTCAGGACCTCGGCCCAACCCACAGCCATCCCAGGTATGACTGCCTCTGCTTTCTGTGAGTTTCCCGCTTCGAATTAATGCACAGTGCTGCACCTCCTAATGTGCTTGAACAGCCCCTGACAACTTGCTTGCTTCCAGCCATCCTCATGATTGGTTGCCCATGCAAAGCTTAGTTTTGCTTTGTACCTATCTGTGCAGTGGGTTGAGATGTACTGGACCCCCAGGAAAGCTTGGCCAAGCATCCTGGGGCAACGGTCCTGTGTCATTCAGCCCCAAAGGACTGTTGCTACGCCAGTCTGTGGGAGCCCTCAGATGGGAAAAACCCAGCTCCAGCCAAGCCTTGGTGGCTGGTTGAGTAAGGATCTTTTGTTGAGACCTTATCTACCCTCTGCCATTTCATACAAGGACCACCTAATTGTTTTGAAGCACTTTCTATTTGATGCTTGCTTACTGCGCAATCATGGTCCAGATCTCTTCTCTGTGGGGAAGAGACGGTGCCCGCTTAGGTGAAAATCCTATCTTCCAAGGGCCTCTCCACTGCAACAAAGATTAAATTGAATCGCTTGAAACAGGGAGAGTGGAGAAAGGGCATGCTGACAAACCCCATCCGTGAAAGGCAGTCCAGTCTGCGGGAGACCGCGTCGGGAGCGCTTCTCCTAGGAGACGCAGACCTGTCTCTAGGGATCCAGGACCAACTCAAGTGTGGGAACAAAGGGAGAGTTCTGCTTGCTGGCCCAGCCCCCTTGCCGCTGATGGTTAGTCTCCTCATTGACCAAACCTTCGGAGCAGAAAGAGATCTTCAGTACCACTCTCTGCTTTGCCAGATCAGCCGAGTGCCAGCCACAGGCAGGAGAGGGGGACACACACCATATAGCTGCAGCCTGTTGAAAGGGGGCCCCATAAACTCTGTGCTGTGTTCAAGCATGGTAGGAAGATGTTCCAGTCTCCCAGCTGCCTTGGTGTGGCCCCGTCATGCCTGTCCTGTCTCTGATACTTGTCTGGGCACTCTGCTCAGTTGTCACAATAGCGCCTCCCAGAGGGAGGGAGACCAGAAAGGGTATGGCTGCCTAGGACACGGGCCTGCATGTGCGCGAGTCGGTTAGTGAAAACAAAGTGAGACCGGTATGTGGTTCCCGATGGTTGAGTGTGCATGACTGTGTGTGTCTTGACAGACATGTGGGGGCCTCCAGGGAGCTGGCAGGTGGGTCTTAAACCACAGAGGAAACACGGCCATTGGTCCTACCCTCTGCATTGTCAGGGAGGCCCCTTAGTGCACATGGGCAGCAGTGAAGGCAAGGCACCTGGGCGTGGCTGCAAGTGTTCTCGCCACCGCTTAGCACCATGTCCAGAGGTAGCCCTGCCATCCATGCCCCTTCTCCCTTTGTGTTCTTTGGCCCATTTTTCACTGAAATCGACAGTCTGGAGTGTGTCTGGCTCTGCTCAGCCCTTGTGGGACCCGTAGGAGGTGGGGGAGTGAGAGGCTTGTGTCGCCCCTTTCCAGGGAGAGAGAGTTCCGACGGCACCTGTTGCCTGGCCTAAGCAACATAGGCAGGTCGCTTGGACATGCTGCAGTCACATGCTGAGTGCTGCCCCCAGCATCAGCCTGTGGGGTTGGAGCAGTTGGGGACCCTGTGAGTCAGATCTAGAAATAGGAGACCTTGTCCTCCAGGGTCCTGCCCGGCAGAGATGTCAGAGTCCTTCTCATCAAGCCTGCAGGTGCCCAGGGAAGCCGGAGAGGGTTGAAGGGACGGCTCGCCTCACCCACAAGGGCTCGGTGGCTCTACCACATGCATTTGAGGAGGTGGTGGCTCTGTGCTTGGTTGGACTCTCCCGACCATGGTGTTGGGACCTGTGTACAAAACCTGTGAATTTCAAGATGTGCGTTCATGATGGGGTTCTGTGGTCAGCAGGGTGGCAGGAGGGGAGGCGCACAGACTAGTTTGTCTTGAACAGCGTCGGGGGGGTTGTGGCGCCCAAGGAGGAAGAGTCCGACCTATCACTGAGATGCTCCTGGTGCATCTCTCCTGCTACGTGTAGAAAGCTCTAGAGGCTAGGAGGCTGTGGATAGGCTCGTTGACTGTTCCCAAGAGGCCTGACCTTAGTCAAAGGTAACACTCTCCTAATCACACTCTTGTATTTGACTGCAGAGGCTCTGTTCTCTCACTTGGATTTCATTTGCTCGCTGACCCCTAACCCCCGAATTCACCCTGCTGTGCTGCTTCTGGCCTTGCTGAGCTTCGGAACTGGCCTTACGGGAATAATACCGTACTGAACTCTTCTCTAACCTTTGTCAATTTAATTTACTAAGTTGAATTAACCTTTGATTCTTGCGTTTTCTATATTTGACCTAATTTTTTTCTTTTTATCTATTTTTTTTCTCTGTTTCTGTCTCTACCTTCTCTTTCCTTCTCCCCCCCTCCCCTTCTTGTGTCTGCCGTCACACATCTCACCTTGGACGTCCGTCACTGGGACATCCCCACTGCCACATTTGTTTTTAAACAACCACATTCCCTCTGGGCGCCCATTGCTTGGACCTGCAGCGACCTTGGGAGGCTGCTCTGCGTCCTACACCTTTGTCTCATTGCTTCTCTCTGCAGTGACTCTGCTTTTGCTCTGTTAGGAACTTGAACACACACACACACACACACACACACACACACACACACACACACACACAATTAAGTTTGCTTAATGCCCAGTTCCTCTGAGAATGATCAGTGCCCCCTTTGGAAGAACCTGTCAGGACCGCCACAGCCATGCCACCAAGCACTCTGTGTGGAAGAGGAAGGTTTGGTGATTGGGAAAAGCTGGACCTCCAGACATTTTACCATTCACAGGTCCGCTTGTGCTGCTTCACGAGGATGTTTGCCCCTTTCTAATGGCAGTATGAAAATATTTGGGAGCACTTTTCTTTAAACACTGTCTTTTTAAAAAGCATTATGCTAGGTTTACAGAGAAGTTTCTGCACATCTGCTACCTGTTGCATTTTGTTGTTGCTGTTCTTCCCTGAAAATGATGTAGCAGAGGAAAATGTCTAAGTACCTCCTGAAGCTTGCCTCAGATTCTTCGAATCACCACATGCTCCCCACCCCATTCTAACCCCATGCTCCCCCTCTGCCCTTCAAAAAGTAGTCGGCTTTGCTTGCATTGACGTGCCCGTGGTAAGAGAGCCAGACCACTGGGATGCACCCGAGCATTTTGCTAACACGATGGGCAGAGTCATTCACCCCATTTTACCCATACAGTGGAAGAAATTGGACTTGTTAGGCATTATCTGGGGCTGCTCAGATGTTCTGGGAGGCGCTTTGGTCCTGGTATTAGTATGAGCAGCCCCAACAGGGCCAGCCTATGATGCACCCAGTACCCGTCAGCTTTATAAGATGTGTGTCCCCCCAGTTGGAGTGATTCAGGCTGCCCAGCAGTGAGCCGCAAATCAGCACAGAGCCTCGTGTCTTGGGGGTTGTGGTCTGACAGTCTCGCATACACGTCAGTCCCCAAGTTGGAGGTATCCACCTCGAGCCAGGCACAGTCACGCACTCCCCACCCCCACACACACTCTCACCAGAGCAGAAGGATGGGGACAGGTCATTCCTGGACTGCCCAGCCCAGAGCGTCCACACACTGCGACTCGGTCAGCCTGTCTTACTTCCCAAATTCCCCAACCCCCCATAGTGGTCAGTGGCTTTAGTGACATTTAAAAAATTCTGGTGACCACCAGCCAGTCCCCTCTGCTGTTGGGGGGCACGCCCCTCCACGTGCCCAGGAGAGAGGCTCGCTAAGGTCTCTCACAGAGACTCAGCTGGATCCTGCTCAGTACCATCTGTGCGCACTTGGGGATGGACCTCCTACTGAATAAAACCTCCCTCCCTCCATTGTGGTCACATCATTCTACATATCTCATCTCTAAACATCCCACAGAAGTTTGATTTGTTCTTTTTGTTTATTTTTTAGTTCTCTTTGTTCTTGGTTTTTTTTGTTGTTGTTTTTTTTTTTTTAATTAATGTTTGAAGACTAGTCTTTCCCTTTGGGAATCCCAGTGAGCCCGTGTCAATGGGCCCGTGTCCCCCAGCGCTCATCATTTAGAGGCTCATGCTCAGACACTGGAGGCCACACTTTGCCCAGCAGCTCAGGCAGGTAGCGCCCCTCGCCCCAGCCCTGCCTTGCCCCCCAGCCCCACCTCAAACCTCTTCCCCTGGGGCCCCTGCCCTGCCTTCACACCAGCATAAGACAAGCAGGCGTGGTTCTTAGGCACAAGGCAGAGCATCGAGGAGAGACCCGTGGTGCCTCCGGGCCTGGCGTAAGAACCCCAGGTCAGTTAGCAAGAGCTCTGGGGAGGGCGAGGGAAGGAGGGGTCTGTCCTCACTCGAGTGGCCCGTCACCGTCCTCCTGGCTCCTGGCGTGCTCTTGATAGCATCTTGGGCAGAAGTCCCGTGTTCACCCAAAAGGGCCCGTCGCAGAGGTCTGCCCCAGCCTGGTCCCATTCCCACCCACAGGGGAGGACTAGTGTCAGTGCTTCTGAAGGGACTCTTTGGAGATCTAGCCCAAAGCGTAGAGAGGCCTGACACGGCCTGTCTTCCCACGCCCCCACCCCCCCCCCCCCCCCCCAGGCAAGGAGGGCCTCAGCCAAAGCTGCTTTGGGGTCAATGCTGGCAGGCCCTGGTTTGTAACGGGATGCCTTTCGAGAGACAGTGTTGGGGCACACTCACTCCCCCCGGACACCGTTCTCAGTGACGGCTGTGGCCCCTGGCCCTACCAGCGGTCCCCAAGGTAGCGGCCCTTTGAGGCCCCCGCGGGAGGAAGCACTTGCCCCCTCGCTCAGCTGCCCCTGCCGCCGGGCCCCATCCAGTGCTGCCACGCTCCACATGCCGCGGGGTTCCTCTGCTCACTTCTGAAATACTGATACGGCAGGTTTGGATCACGTTTGTTACTAATAAGAATGCTAACACTGTTGTGTAGATAATCAGCGAGGCCTTGATGAAGTTTACACCTTTGCATTATTAAAGGAAATAACAGTCCACGTGAACTCACCAGCGTGTTTTGATTTTATTGAATAGTTGTGTGTCCTACAAAATGTCAAAAGCTCTTCCCTTCCACCTCACGTGTACCTGAACAACTCTGATTACTCTACAAATTGCACCCCAAACTTGTAGCCTGCTGCTTAGAGTTCTAGCAAAGGAAATGCTTTCCTTTCCTGATGAGGAGCTACGCACTTTGCTTAGCTGCCCTGAGAACTCTTGTGGGTCATTGCCTCCTTGGATGCTCCTGGTCCCCAGCAGGCAGGGGGAGGGGACAGTCCCTTTGCAGACCCAGGAGGTGGTCACTTCAGGGTCAGAGGTGCACTGTGGGCCACCAGACATACAACACTGTAGCTAGGGCTCCTGATTTCCCTGCTCCCATTAGAACCCCATAGCAGAGGCTGCGCAGAGCGACCTTGTGATAGAATGTGAGAGAAAGCTCTCATTGGCAAATCCTGTTCTGCTTATAATGACACTTAGTAGGACACTTCCCGGAAGCCCTTGAGACCAGCCGTCTGTTTAACAGCGGCTTCTGGGAAGGAGCAAGCAGACGGGTATGGGGTTATGAGTGAACCAGAGCCCCAGCTCGGTGGAAGGGGTCACTCTGCTGCACGAAGAGCCGATGACACAGTGACTCAGGCTTGTCTAGTGTCTGTAAAATGTGAAACCCGGATTCTCGCTTTGAGGCATTTAAGAAAGATGTATGTAGGTCTCCGTCTTGGGGCAGCCAGGTCCCTACTCAGGGTCAACCCCTCCCATGCCAGGAACCGCAGAAGATGGACAGCCCCATGTTCGTAGCATCACCGTTGGGGCGGCTCTGACCCTGGAGGTTATGGAGGAGCTGCTCCCAAGAAACTCTCTTTGCATGTGGGTCTGTGGGTGGAACTGGGACCAGGCCAGTGGCAAGGTCAGGCAAAGATAGACCCCTGGAAGGTTAGGTTTCCCTTTTATAAACTGTTACCTAAGGTACAGGGGCTACCCTTTGTCCTTCTGGCTCTCCTGGGCTACAGCCCTGTAACATCCCCCGAGAGCTAGTGGGTGTTGGCTTGACTTTGATATACTTTCATCCATTTCCTGGTGTTTCCCTTATTTTCAGTTTTTTTGCTTTGTTTTGGTCTTTGGTTTTTGGTGGGTTTTTTTGTAAGAGCTATGCACACTCTTTCTCTAGCTTGAGGAGCGCCTTACTCCCTCTGGAAGTCAAGACTCTTAGTGGTGAACTGGGTGGCCCTTTTTCCTTTGGGGACAGTCTTTGCTTTCTCTCCATCCGTTCAGTATGCTAGGTCAAGGCCATGCGGTTAGACCGCACAGCTCCTCCTTGGGCAGCGAGTCATAGAGCAGCTGTTACTCATTGTAGGGCAGACACGAGAGGACCTGGAAACGGCGCTCCTCAAACTCTGCTGTGTATGAGGATCACCCGGGCTATTCCTCCAAATCCTGATTCCTGAGCCTCACCCCCAGAGATTCTGATTCCGTAGAATTGGGGAGCCCCAGAGTCTAAATTTACAGCACCCCAGGAATTCTGCTGCAGGTGGACAGACATTACACTAAAAAGTATTTATTTTCCACATAAAAATAAAATCACAAGAATCGGTTAATAAAAACAGGGCCTACTGAGTGTTGTAGGCTTCCAAGAAAAAGTATTTTGCACGGGGTGCTGCTGGATGGTGATGTGGGATGGCAGGCTCTTGTGGTTAAGGGGGGTGTGGAGACACCGTCACCCCAGGCCCTGCCCCACGTGGGGACCTCTTCCAGAGCATTACGGAACCACTGCCAAGGGGCCATCCAGCCTCTGCTTGACCACCTCCAGCCACAGGGGCCTTGCCTGCCAAAGCAGCTCACGCTCTGTTAGTTCTTTCTTGGGGGGGGGGAGCGGAAATCTACCCCAGATCCTATAGTTTCCATCCAGTTTCCATCCAGCAGTGGTACCGAACAAGACTACTTCTTCCATTTCACAGCCCACCTGTAAATCTCTGGAGGTGGCCTTCTCATCTCCAGACTCAACACCCACTCATTTTTTTTTTTTTTGACAAATATTCTTTGAACATTTCCTATCAGTTAGGTTGTCCTAGATGCTGGGGAGACACAAGACAGGTAGAGTACCTAGTAGAACCTTCCAGAAGGGACAACCAAATAAAAAGCATGTAAATGAACAGAAAACGTCAGCTAGAGGTAAAAAGAGAAGAAAGCAGGTAATGTGGTAGATAGTGGGCAGAAGTGCCTCACTAGATAAGAGATCGGAGGACAGAGGGAGAGGGCTCTCTGACAAAGTGACCTTTGAGCCAAGGCCTGTGGGACGGCAAAGAGCCACCCAGGAAGTTATGGGGCTGGAGTGTTGCAGGCAAGGAGTCAGCAAGGGCTTGAGGCAGGAATGGGCTGGGTGTGTTCAGTAGGTGGCGTGAAGGCTCTGGCCGGAGCACAAGGTGGGGGGAGGGGCGGGGGGGGAGGGCCGGTGCCATAAGTCACAACAGTCAGAAGAGTGGGACCGTCTACAGCCCGTGTAGGGCCTTCAGGCCAAGAGGAAGAGTCTGAATTTTATCTCCGCTAGAAGGGAAGACCACTTCCCTTTCTGTCTCACGTCACAGGGGTCTTTGTACCCTCCTGGCCCTTCCCCTGTGCATGCACATGGTGCTGGCCTTCAGAACCAAGGCAGCCCTCCAGCTGGGTCTGATGAGCCCAGAGCATAAGCTGGACACCCGCCACCTCAAACACGGAGCCACTTGGCAGTGGTTTGTCATCCTCTTTAGAGATAGCATTTGTCCCCTAAAACCATATTTATGTGTATACCTCAGAATGTACAGTTTGTACCACTGAGCCCGAAAACACAAACATCGTCCCCTCACACAAATACTTCAGGCTCCTTCTTCAGGAAGCAGGCACTCAGCACCTGTGGGGCACTGACGTCAGCAGGCAGCAGTGGCTTCCCGCCCAGTGTCATGGGCTCGAGAGAAAGCCCAAGGCTGATATCCCCTCCCTGCTCAGGGAAGCAGCTTTGGGACTCTGAAGATCAGGAAGGCTTGCATGCCTCTGTGCTTACTGGGGTGGAATGTGTAAGGACGTGCGAGAGAAGAATGGATGCTTTATTCTGCTTCCGTGAGCTGCTAGGGAAAAGACCCGCTCTAGCGGACTTTGGGGGCCGGCCGGCCGGCCGTTTCCTGCCGCCAGAGTCCGGAGATGGCGTGGCCAGAGCTGGGCCCTCTGAGTTCAGAGCCCTTGGTCCATCTTGATGCCTTCCTGGGGGTAGCCTAGGGTTTTCAGTGTGGGTTGGATGGGACCAGCCAGCGAGCCCAAGGAGAAAAAGCTGGGAAGCAAGACCAAGGTCCCAAAGAAGCCACAAATATTCAAGAATTTGAGAATCTTCTCCAACTAAGGCCCATCTGTGCCACGGGTACGACGCATTAAGCTGTGAGCAAGCAGTCATCTCTGGCGTGCTGGGCTGGTGGTTCGTACCTGAATTAAACTTTGAAACAAAGACCAGTGGGGTAGGATCACTGCTGAAGAAGCCCCATGGGGCCTGAGCAGAAACCCCTGGGCAGACAGACGCGTGCCCCCAGGAACACAGACTGCATGGAAAAGGAAGAACGTGACCCGTCTGTAGCACCTGTCACCTTGGACTACACGTTCCTCCATTATCTGGTGTGGTACATGGCTGGCAGCCCAGCGGGCCTGGCCTGGTGCACAGCAAAGGCTCAGTGAGACCCACATAGCTTTGGCCACAGTGACTGCCTCTAGGGGGCCGACCTGGGTGATCCCAGTGACTGCCTCTAGGGGGCACACCTGGGTGATCCCAGTGGGTCCTGCCGGCACAGGAAGCCTCAGACAAGGTCCAGGGGTGGGGTGGGGCTGCCAGTCTGGTACTCCGTCCTTCCAGAATAAAAACGAAGCAGACGTGCTCATGTTTCAGTCTGAGGTCATGGTTTCCACACTGACTTGTGGGCAGAGCCCTGCTGGGTCCTGGCTTCCCAGAGCATAACCACGTGTCTCCCAGACACTGGGGGGACTCACCAGTCAGGGGGCCACCTCAGGCAACTCTCCACCATCACAGGGGGGCCTGGGGAGCTGTGAGACCATCAGTCCCCCGGGGCTCAGGGGGTTTGTAGATGGACAGCAGGGGAGGACACAGAGGCCAAGTCATCCAGAGTGAGCGCAGCCAGAACAGGGGTGCTGGGTACTGCTGGGTACTGCTCGGGTGTGAGAATGTGGGTCTGTCTGTCGTGGGCACAGAGGGTATTTGCCCTAAGTGTGAGTGTGCCTGTCCGTGTGGACGTGCATCTCTGGGTGAGTCTGCTGGGTTTCCTGAAGTCTGGTCCAGGCGTGCCTCAGCTCCCAGATGGTGAGTATACCCCAATTTTTCACCTTGCCTACCGGGGCTGGGCCGACCTCCACGTCTCCAGAGTAAATGGGCTTCCTTCGGCTCCCTGGGTGCAATGACAGATAAACCATGTCCATTGTCCAGTGTTGGGATCCTCTAGAGCTGGTTCTAAAGAGGAGAGGACGTGGGGTAGCATTCTGGGCATACCATCGTGCCTGATGTCAGCACAAGCCCACAGGAAGCCCTGGGAACCCCCTGCTGCCCAGTTGGGACCCTGCCCATGACCACTCCCAGGAGCCACAGTCCAGCCTGAAACCAGTGACCATCTCCTGCCTGCCTGCTGCCGGGCTCACAGGGAGATCAGCTAAGGATGGGTTGGGGGAGGCTCAGAGACTGAGCACCAGGATGGAGACAGCTCCCAGTCCCCACCTGCATCCTGACTTGTGGGTGCCTCATGCCCTTGTCCGCTGGTCTGTGAGATACAGCTGCAAACCGCCCTCTCAAAGATACAAAGAGAGTCTGTCATCTCAATACCAGGGTATAGAAAGGCCCCACGGAAGGTGCCCCTCTTGACACAAATGCCATGACTGTGTCCTGTAGGCTCTCCCCCACCGGAGGGGCTGTCGCTCTGCGCAGGGTGCAGGAGTCTGCAAGGCAGTGCAGTAACCGCCGGCCATGTCTCTCTCTCCTTCCCACTCAAGCCAACGGCAGCCCTACATCAGGCCTGAGCACTGGGGCCATCGTGGGCATCCTCATTGTCATCTTCGTCCTGCTCCTGGTGGTGGTGGACATCACCTGCTACTTCCTGAACAAGTGTGGCCTGCTCATGTGCATCGCCGTCAACCTGTGCGGAAAGGCTGGGCCCGGAGCCAAGGGCAAGGACATGGAGGAAGGCAAAGCCGCCTTCTCGTGAGTACAGACACACTTGCCACCGCTGGGGTCTGGGCTCTGCCCCAGGCTGGGTGGGGCAGGGGGCCAGCAACGAAGCCATCTCATTGGAGAAATGTTTCTCAGAGCATAGCCTTTGGGGGTACGTGTTTGCAAAGCCAACTCTTGGGCCCAACCTCACATCTAACATATTAGAATTTCGGAGAAGTTTGAAAATCCCTGCATAAATGAAAATTTGGGGAATTTTCAGAGCTGAACCAGAAGAAACCTGCCATAGCATTTGAGAGACCTACTTGCCTTGCTGTCATTCATTTACGTATTCATTCATTCAGTCAGTCAGTCAGTCAGTCATACATCTCCCAGGAAATATTTATTGAGCAGCTACTGTAGGGCAAAGCACTACTCCTCACACTAGGTTACACCCCCGCACAGAACAGGTAAAACTTCCTGTCCTTTCGGAGCTGAAGTTCCAGATGCTGTCCCCTCCAGCATCTCTGGAGAAACAGATCCTGAGCCAATTAGCCGGAGCCTTCACAGACTCAAGGCAAGAAGGGACAGAGCAAGGGGTAAGCTGTTAGCACCACCATGTGTCAGGCTCTGTACGTAAATACAGATTATCTGAGCACTTCTTTGTGCCAGGCACTGTGCTGAGCACTTCACACTCATTATCTCAGTTAACGTGAAACAGCTCGGCAAGGCAGAGACTTATTTACCCTGTTTTACAGATGAGGAGATGGAAGCAAGGGTGAGCAAGTTGGGTGCTCAGGGTCACATAGCACGAGTGGGAGCTGAGGCTCAGGCACTTAGGCCTGGCTTGAGCTGCACCCCCAACCCCTACCAACTTTGGGCCGGGCCCAGGTGCCACGAGCTGTAGCTGGCTTCTCCAGGAGCCCCCTCTCTGCCCCAGCAGCCCAGGATTGAACCAGCCACTCTCTCCACAGGAAAGATGAGTCCAAGGAGCCCATCGTGGAGGTGCGGACTGAGGAGGAGCGGACCCCAAACCACGACGGAGGGAAACACACAGAGCCCAATGAGACCACACCGCTGACGGAGCCCGAGTACGTGGGCGGGGAGGGGCCGTACCTCGTCAGCAGAGTCCCACATCCACCTCGTCACCCTACCCACACCTCCCATGCCTCCCAGCCAAACAAGCAGGCCAGATGCTGGAGCCCTTGGCCAGAAATGCCTGACCACCCCCCCTCCCCAGAGAGAAGGCATTCTGGGTTCTGTTAAGGGCCTGTGGGTGCTCAGAAAGGGCTCCTGGGATGAGTGGGACCTGTAGACCCCGTTCCTGAGTCACACACACATCCTGGAAACAGCCGAAGGGGGCAAAACTTCGTTGAGAGACGCTGAGCTTTGAGAGGCTTAGCAGGTTCTGCTCAGGATTTTCAAGAACTCTAGGGCTTTCTGCATTCTTCCCAGAAGGGTGAGGGAAGGTGAGGGTCTGTGAAGCTCCCCCGCCCTCCTGTTCCCAGAGGCCTGGGGGACCCTCCAGCAGGAACCAGGCCCAGCTGAGCCTGTGACGACTGCTGGCTGTCCTGAGTGCTCTGGGCTTGAAGGGAGCGGAGCTGAATGGCAGCACGGAATCGGGCTGGAGAGCCCGTGTGGCCCCTCGGGGCCGTTGGGAGCCCTCATTGCCTTCCTCCCGACTTTCCCCATCACTGCCCGTGGAGCCTGTTCCTCGGGGGGCCTAGGGCACCGGCAGCGGCGGACGCCGGACGGAAGCCTGCCCCTCCTGAGTTGGGGTGCAGGCGGGGCTCAGGCCGCGACAGGGCTGTAGGGAAAGGCAGCCTAGTGCAGAGAGTTGGAGGGGCGTCGGCGGGGCGGCAGGGCCCGCAGGTCCCTTTCGACTGCCACCTGCTCTGTGTCTCCTGTCTGCTCTTCTGCCCGCCTGGGTCTGTGCTCCCCCCCCCGCCGTCCTCGTCTCTCTGTGGGCCTGTCCGTGCCTCTGCGTCCCTGCCCGCCTGCCCGCGCCCCCTCCTCCGCTGCAGCCCTTCCCCTGCTTCTCCGTCTCGTCTGAGCTTCATTGTCTGTTCTCTTCTACTTCCTGTCCTCCCCGCAGGCTGCCTGCCGACACCACAGCCACTGTCGAGGACATGCTGCCTTCTGTCACCACCGTCACCGCTAACTCTGACACTGTCACCGAAACCTTTGCCACTGCTCAGAACAGCCCCACCAGTGAGACCACCACCCTGACCTCCAGTATTGCCCCCCCGGCCACGGCCACACCCGACTCAAACTCTGTGCCCGCCGGCCAGGCCACCCCTTCCAAGGGGCCCGGCGTCGCCACCTCCTCCCCACCCCCCGCTTCAGCCCCCAAGGTCGCCCCCCTCGTTGACCTGAGTGACACCCCGACCTCAGCCCCCGCTGCCAGCAATCTGTCTTCTAGTGTCCTGGCTAACCAGGGGGCTGTGCTCAGCCCGAGCGCCCCTGCCAGCGTAGGGGAGGCCTCCAAGGCCCCTCCGGCCAGCAAGCCGGCCCCCGCGCCAGGCCCCGCCATGGCAGCAGCGGCCACCCCTGCCTCGGAAGCCCCCCAGGCCAAGCAGGAGGCTCCCAGCACCAAAGGCCCGGACCCCGAGCCCACCCAGCCCGGCGCCGTGAAGAGCCCGACCGAGGCAGCCACGGGCCTCACTAGCCCGAAGAGCGAGGCTGCCTCCGTCAGCGCCACAAACCCTGCCCAGGGCGAGGACTTTAAAATGGACGAAGGGAACTTCAAGACCCCAGATATTGACCTTGCAAAGGATGTTTTTGCAGCCCTGGGCTCTCCTGCTCCTGCTGCTGGGGCCAGTGGCCAAGCCCCTGAGCTTGCTCCTTCCACTGCAGACATCTCTGTTCCGCCTGCACCAGCAAAGACCGAGTACGGCCTCTCTTTGTCTGCTGTGGTCGGGTTTTTTCCCGTGGTGGTGTGCATTAGTGCTGTGCTGTGTCCTGTTTGTGAGACGTGTCTTCAGCCTAATCCCGGGCTTCTCTGTGGGAACTCTCAAGCAAGGGGCTGGGATGAGGCAGAGAGAGAGGAGGGGGGCAGGCGGGCAGGGCCCAGGCAGCAGCCTCCTGCTCGCTAATTAGGCCATGTTAATTATGTCTTATCCTTATCATCCTAGCAGTGGTTTCTCTTTTCCCCTGGGAGGAGGGGGGGGGGCGGCCTTGCCATCAGGCCACTGATGAGCGTAGCTTGGGAAGCGAGCTAAGGAGACCAAGGTGCCCTTATCGGCCACCCCAGGGCCCACAGACAGTCAGAGTGTTAGCCAGGGCCAGGCTGAGTCCGCCCCCGAACAGCACTGTTCTGCGGGAAGAAAAGAGGCAGGCCCCAAGGCCCGTGTGGGGAGAGGATGTGGTCCAGAAGGCCCTGTCCCACTCCAGCCCGGATGCCACAACTCCCCCACGACCACTAGCTACTCTTGCTTCTCCTGGGAATGTCTGGGAAGACTCAGACCTCACAGGCACCGAATGACTGTTGGGTCTCCAAGTTCAAGGGAAGGTCCTTAAGCTTAAAGATGTCTTAACCGTGATGCCAAAATGCAGCTGCAGCCGGGGTCTGAGGCTACTTGCCCCAGTGTGTCCTTAGACCAGACTTTCACTCCTGGGACGGAAGAAGGCAGAGTCAGACCTAGGTTTTTATAGAGGCTCCTGTCCCCCAGATGAGCGGTCGTGCTGCCCTCAGCCGAAATGGGACCCTCCCCGGGAGCCCTGAATCTGAAGAAATAGGACTCCACTGGTCCTGCCCACTCAGCAGCCCCCCGACTCCCCCCACCCCGCCCCCACATGTAGCGTGACAGCCCTCTCTAGCCTCTCATGCCGTGGAACACTGCCTCAGTAGCAAAGAGCATTTTCGCACCCTAAACACAGAGCACAGAGTGTGCTGGGAGTGAGGAGAGGCCAGAGCAAGGTGGTTTGCAGAGGGACCCCTGGAGTGGGTACTGGGGAACCCAGCACAGCATCGTCATTTATACCGAGCTGAGTGGGTGCTACTGCAGCGGGTCGGTGGTTGGTCGGGGTGAGCAGCAGGCCGCCTCTGCTGCCCCCTTCCACGGCCCCAGGAAAGGACTGGACCTCTGGGCCCCCAGCAATGGGTGAGGGCCGGAATGGGGAAGGTCTCATTCCTCTGATTCAGCAGCTCTGCACTTCGGCTCCTTTTTAGAGTCACTTGGGTGCTGTTAAAAGTCATCGTGCCCCGACCAATTAAATCAGGATTCCTGGGGCGCTGGCCCAGGAATTGGTGATTTTTAGAGCCCCCAGGTGATTCCAGCGTGCAGCTAAGGGTGGAGACCATTGCTCTGAGCTGGAGCCCCGGTGGAAGGGTGAGTTGCTGTGATTGTGGTCTCAGTGCTGTTTTCCCAATTCTCTGCAGGAAGGGCCCAGTAGAAGCCAAGTCGGAGCGCCAGGAGACAGAAACGAAGCCGGCGCCGGCCGACGTCAAGACGGTCCCCAACGACGCCACACAAACAAAGGAGAACGAGAGCAAAGCATGATGGGTGACAAGAAATGAGCAGATCAAAGTAAAAAGTGACACCATAGCTTCACCAGAGCATTCCCAGTGTCTCACACACGCACACACACGCACACACGCGCGCGCACACGCACGCACACACGCACACACACGCACACACACAATCTCATTCCTCTAGTGTCTTTTGCCTTTAAAAAAAAAAAAACTAAACAGATAAACATGGGATCTCCTTTTTGTAGGTTTATAGAAAGGGTTCCTTTGCTGCGCGCACTCACTTGTAAGAAAATGAGACAAAAAGGTTAAACCCACAGCCAAACTAGGACACTCTGTTCCCTGAAACCATTTAAAGAATCAAACAAAAGGACCCCAAATTAAGAATCTAGGAAGCTCAGAAAAAAAAAAAAATTCTAGGTTCAGGAAGACCACACTTGGTGTTGCCCAGTTGGCACAGACCAGTTTCAGAGAAATACTTCCAGGCACTAAGACTAACGAATGAACAAAGTCCAAGTTTATTTTTATACTTTGAGTCGAGTTTGAACTCTGTAAAGCCCCATAAATAAGTTATAATTTCTGTTCACTTTGTATTTGTTAAGTATGCAAAGTGTGTCCCCCTTGCTAGCTGAATTCAATTCCCACGTAGACTCTTGTTTTGTAGGAAGAATGCCAAATTGCAGCTTCTGGGGGTAGATCTCAGTTTGCAATATTCTGATTTCTTTTTCTCTCCTTTCCTTTCTCATTCTTTTTTTTTTTCCTCCTTTCTGCCAACTTTGTTTTCCAATGTTTACAAGTTGACAAATGTTTGACTTTGGTTGTGTTTAAGCGTCCATGTAAAATAGCTGCCTTTTTCTTTTTTTTTTTTAAGTTACAAATACTGCCTAGAGGCGGGTAGGGTCATCACAGGCTTGCTTTCGCACAGGACAACTTTACAAAATATGATTGTTTACAGTGGCTCTCCCCCCCACACCCCACCTCCTTTCTGATTTGAAATTTTTGCCTGTGTGCAACTCAGGTGAAAATCCATCTCGTTCTGGAGTGGTTTTGCTTTTTTTTTTTTGGTTCTCCGTTCTTTTTGTATTTCCTTGGGGGTTAGACCACTTTCTGATTAGCCACCACCTGCCTGTATCTGTGAAGAAGGATCTGCCCCCGCCCCCCAGGCGTCCACAGCCTTCGTTTTGAAGGACTCCTTAGGCTTTGTTGAATGAAGCAGAGAAGATTGTATAGTTGGGGCTGGTCTTGGTGAACACACATTTTTACCCCAAACATCCCCTTTTTGTAGAAAGCCAAATAAAATATATACATACAATTTCTTTTTGAGCCCAGAATCTAGATTTGAGCGGAAGAGCACTTGTGCTTCAGGGAATTAGTGTCTTTTTTTGGAAATCTGTTGAAGTCAAGTAACATCGGCCTTCTGTTCACTTAGGCAGCATTTATAGAAACAAAAGAGAAAAAAAAAAAACCAACCTGCTGTCTGGAGTCATAAACACAACTTTCCTGGATTGGAAACCAAGTGGGGGGGGGGGAAATACAGAAACTTTAAGGGGGATGGGAGGGGGGAGAAGGGAAAAGCCAGCCCTTTGTATAGAAATTTTGCTTTTTTTTCTCATTCTACTTTAGAAACTGCAAGCTTGTGCACTGTGGATGCGTGAATATTTTAGTGTGAAACGTGTTTTTGTCATAGTATTGAAATAAAACTTCAACATAGTTTGGTTGTGGAAGGTATAGCAGATAGTTCAGAAAAAAAAATATTCAGGAAACAAACATAACTCTTAAAAGGAATTGAAGCCTTTAAACAAAGAAAATGAAATGAAAGTGATAATGATGATGATGATGATGACGATAAGGCTAAGGAAACAGAAATTCAGCCCTCGCTGCGTTCCTTTCCCAAGATACAAAACAGCAAGAGGTTAGGGTGGCGAGACTGCCCCTGAGTCCGTTCCGTGGGTCACACCCCCCCACGTTCTGACACTTCTGCAGTCTGATCAGTGGCGATACACTTAAGATTATAATTTCAAACTGTGAAAAATAATGGTCTTGTCATTTGCTAAATGTGGGGTTATTTTGCATTTTCTCAGCTCCTGGGGATGGAAATGGAGGATCCAGTGTACCCAGCTCTGACCCCTTTGATTCTTGGGTCTTTGCACAAATGTCTGGTTCAAACGCACAGGCCCTCAGGCCCGAGTAATGTGCAGACAGTTCTTTGAGCACACAGCAGAATGGGAGCTCCTGGGTGTCTGAGACAGAGGCCCAGCAGGGTCCTGCCCACGGCTGGGCTGCCTGCGGAAGCAGTCGCTCATCTTCTGATGTTAATGGCGTTGACTCCCTAAGCCAGGCCCACACTGTCCCTCATCGAGACTGTGCATCTTACGCCAAGTGGTTGTGGCCAGGCACGACAACTTGGATTCTGATGGTTCGGAAGAGAAAGAGGTATAGCCGACCCTCAAGTAACCTGGCCCAGGGCAGCTGACGCCCCCCCCCCACCCACCCAGAACCCTGGCTCCGCTGTTAATTGGCACCCAAGACTCTGCCCACCTTTTGGTCTGCCTCTCTCTCATTATACATAGATTTGTCTCTGCACGCATGAGCTTTCCTTTCTTTAAAAAAAAAAAAAAAATTTTTTTAATTAAAAAAAGCATAAACAAAACAAAACAAAACAAAAAAAACAAAAAAACAACACCAGAGCAATGCTTTCTCTAAAATCAAAGAGAGAGTCACTTTATTTTCAAGATGTTCTATCTTTTATGTTAAGAGATAAAAGCTTATAGTTTTCCTTTTTTAATTTTTTGAAGGCGGGATCAACTCTACCAGTTTCCAATGTGTATGTGTCTATATGTGTATGTGCCATACATATGTATTCACATAACTAGCGGCACGGCCACGTTCTGCGGGAGGGGGCACTCCCGGTGCCGCACTTGGGGGCTCTTGAGTCCTGGGGGGCCGTGGTGTGCATAGTGCAGCTTCTGAAGTGGGACTGTTTTCACACTTTTCTATGGAGCCCTTCCGCGTCCCAGGCTGTCACTCGAGGCTGTCTGTCTGGATGGTGGTTTTCAGACCTCCATGAACATCCCTACCCAGCATTCCGTACTTCGGGGGCCTTCTCTCTTGTTATAAACTTTTTACCGAGTGAAACATCGATACCACCTTTGTTTCCATTCTCACTGGTGTAAATACTGAGTACTAACTGAGAATTTTGACTTTGCATTCTGTCAGAATACTTGTGTTCAATAAAAATTGAAAGAAAAAAAGAGCCATTATGGTCAAACTGGGATTTATTTTGACTCGGTGTGAGTCTGCCATGTGAATCATATGTGGAAATGCCAATGGTTTTGTTTTGACCTTGTGAACAAGGTCAGTTAAACCCAGTGTCTTGAGTTCACGTTGCCTGAAGGATGGTTTTCCAATGTTCCCCCTCAGGTTGATAGAGGAATCCCCATTTTAGAATGGCCAGCCATCAGATTCAGAAAGATTTCATTCAAGTCCTGTTCTGCCACTTCCTTGTTCACTCTGGAAGAGTTCCTTAATCTCCCCAAGACTCAGTTTCCTCTTTTGACAAACAGGAGATACCAAGCTCATAGAGCTGAGGCACTGGCTAATGAGGGAAGCAGTGTATATGAAAGCAGATTATAGGACTGTCTTGGCACATAGTAGGTGCTCAACAAATGGGAGGTAATGCTGGTGGCACCCCAGGGGTGTGAAAGCATCAAAGCCAATTGGAATAACAATCTAAACTTGAGCTCCAAGGTTTCAACATGGAGGTAGGCGCATGAGGCTTATTCCAGAATAATGATGCCTCTCCTTCTTTCTTTGCCGTACTGCTCAGCCCTTGGAGTTTATTGAAGTCTCTGAGCTAGGCAGAGTGGAAGAAAATTTCACCCAACTCAGAATTCTCTTGCATGGGCTGCTGTCCAGCTGTGTTGGGAAGAGCCGAGAGTTGAAATTACCTATTAAACTGTGGAATCGGAAGTCCCTGGAGCGGAGCAGGCCCCAGGGCCAGCACTAGGGTGAGGCAGGTGAGTAAGACTGCTAGGGAGCCAGGTGTAAGGAGGCCCTGTCTCAGGGCCAGTCCTGCACCTGCACGCATCTGAGGCACCTCCTTCTTTTATGTCCCACATGCCCCTCTCTAGCCCCAGCCTGGGGCGGTGCCTTCCTCTGGGGCGGTGTCTGCATCCATTCCCAGGAGTTGGCCCTTCATTGGCCCTAGAGCCTGTTTTAAGGACCCAGAGCCCCATGTATCTATGTGATTTCCTGGGCCACCAACATCCAGCTGCATATGGCAAGGTAAGGAGCCATCAACAAAAACTGAAACATCCTGAAATGATGACCCTCTCTAATGACACATGGGGGCTTACTTTCAGAGCCTTCCTCCTTCAGGCTCGCCTCCTCAGAGATTCGCTCAGTAAGTATTCACAGAGTGCCTCCAAGATGCTCAGGATACAGCCATGGACATTAGTTTATGTGTGGGGTGCAGCAGACAGGAAGCACGTAAGTTCCTAGTCTGTTGTAGTATCAGTGGGGCTACTAACCAGTATTCCAGTTCTCCTTTCCCTCCTTCCAGGCACATGATAGGTTTGTACTTCTCTGGTCACATAAAGTAGGTGTGGCTGTGTCAATGGAATATGAGCAGGGCAGTGTGCGTCACTTCTCAGCAGAGCCTTGGTGTCCCTCTTCCCTCGCCACAGCAACCAGCAAAGCTGCAGGTGGTAGAAAGACCACCACCTGGGCCCAGAGTGAGAGGTGTGCACAGATGACCCATGATGGATGTGGAGTATGTGTGAGGGATAACCCCAGTGGTGATCTCTGGTGAATGCTTAATAACCGGCCTTCCAAGGGCAGAAGATGAGGGGATGCATATACATACAATGTGTGTGTTTATTATAAACTTTACTGAGACAAAGAATGCAGTTTACAAACGATATACCTTACTCTGTGTTGAAATTCCATGTATCCCTATGATACAGAATGCTTTAGTAAATTTTTGCTGCACTCTTGTCTAGAATCAACCTGTGGTTACAATTAATGTGTGAGTAGAGTTCCAACAAGAACATTGGTTGATACATTCGTGGGTGCCAACAGATCAGATGGAAGTGGAGCACCAGAGATCCATGTGTTG